CTGGAAATGGAAATACACTTGTGAAGTGAAATATAAGATTTTATGAAAGCTGTAATAACCCGTGTGTGCGTGCGTGTGTGTGTGTGTGTGTGTTTGCATGTGCGTGTGTGTGTTCAGGATAAGAGTGTGCGTGTGTGGAGGATGGATGTGAGCAGTGGTCGTGTCCACTGTGTGGCTCAGGGAACCGGACACTCCAATGCTGTGGGCTCCATCGCCTGCTCCAGGTCAGAAATCCCTACGAGAACACTGATAACATCTGTGCCATTAAGCCCAGTTCACACTACATGAATTAAAGATCTCCTACTGTGCAGAAGTCCCCTTTAATGTGGGGGTGTAAACATTTCCAGCTTGTGTTCAGGGCCGTGTGTGTGTGTAATCTAATGTGTCTCAGGATGAAGCAGCAGTTCGTGGTGTCGGGCAGTCAGGACTGCACAGTGAAGGTGTGGGATCTGCCCGAGACTACTGGAGCTGAAGGAGTGATGATGATGAAGGCTCGATCCACTGAGAGAGCGCACGAGAAGGTGCGTTCACACACATGTACACACACACACACACACACACACATAGCATTGATACTGCAGGTATGGAGCAGTGTGTTCTGGTTGTGGAGCTCAGGTGTGTGGTGTTATTGCCGTTATATAGATCATTTCTTTATTTAACTGTACGGTGGGCATAGTTTATCACCGATAGAGCAGGATATTGTGATCTGTAGTGCAGTAATAGCGTGTGTGTTACTGACTGCAGTGTGTGTGTGGTGTTGTAATCCTCCGTCTGCTCTGTGTTGCGTGTGTGTGTCCGGCTGCAGGATGTCAACAGTGTGTGCGTCTCCCCCAATGATAAGCTGCTGGCGTCGGGCTCACAGGACCGCACGGCCAAACTGTGGGCTCTGAGTGACCTGCGTCTGCTGGGGGTCTGCCGGGGCCACCGCCGCGGGGTCTGGAGCGTGCAGTTCTCCCCGGTGGATCAGATCCTGGGGTCCGCATCGGCCGACGGCAGCGTCAGGATCTGGAGCATTCAGGACTTCAGCTGCCTTAAGGTCACACACACACACACACACACACACACACACACACACTGTAGGTTAACACTGATGGTCTGCTCAGACAGAGCTTATTTAAACACCTGAAGTGTGTGTTCTGTGTGTTTTCCTGCAGACGTTTGAGGGTCACGATGCCTCCGTGCTGAAGATTATATTCGTCAGTCGGGGAACTCAGCTGGTGTCCAGGTACAGCACACGCCGTCTGTGTGTATATGCCACTCTGGGTTAAATATGTGCACTACATTCACACACACACGTGCTGATGTTCAGTAATAATACACAGCTGAAGTCAGAGTTATCAGCCCCCCTGTTTATTTTTCCCCAATTTCTTTTTAATGGACAGCAGAACACATCTCTAATCATAACAGTGTTAATAACTCATCTCTAATCACTGATTTATTTAGTCTTTGTCATGATGACAGTAAATAATATTAGACTAGATATTCTTCAAGACACTTCTATACAGCTTATGTACATGTAAAGGCTTCACTAGGGTAATCAGGGTAAAGTTAGGGGAATTAGGCAAGTCATTGTATAACAGTGGTTTGTTCTGTAGATTATCGGGAAAATATAGTTAAAGGGGCGAATAATATTGACCTTAAAATGGTGTTAAAAAAATTTAAAACTGCTTTTATTCTAGCCGAAATGAAACAAATCAGACTTTCTCCAGAAGAACAAATATTATCAGACACACTGTGAACATTTCCTCAATCTGTTCAACATCATCTGGGGAATAATTCTGACTTCAGCTGTGTGTGTGTGTGTGTGTGTGTGTGTGTATGTGTGTGTGTGTGTGTGTGTGTGTGTGTGTGTGTGTGTGTGTGTATATATATCATATTGTTATGATTGTTTAAGTCATTTGACAATTATCTAATCATTTATAATAATAATGATAAGAATTACTTTATTACAAAATAATAATAATTGCAATATAATCAAAGGTTTGTATTATATTACAACAGATAATATAATTATTTATTAGATTATTATTTCTTTATGTATATTCTGGGGTCAGTTCTTCGTACGTGGATTACTCAGTTAGCTGGATTTGGATATTGACGATTTGAAAAGATTCAGGATCGTTTCGTTCTTCAAAGCTAATTTGAGAGTTGTTGTCATGGCAACAGTTCTGCTAGCTCAAACCTGATCGGGAGCAGCTCAATTCATATAAACAGGATTAGATCGCCTCAGTTAAACAAAGATAAAGAAGTATGTTCTGAATTCTGATATTTTCTTACAGTAGTAGTTATATACACTTGGGAAAATGGTAAATATTTTTAAATATATATATATAAAGTTATAGTTATTAATAAAATAAATAAAGTTATACATAATAATAAAACTTGTCGTCTCAAAATGAAAGTACAAAGACTGCCACCTGCTGGTGTAAAGAGAAAACTTATTGATATTAAGTTTTTAGATCGCTTTAGTACAATGGAGATTTTTTTAAAGCAATAATACATTTATGCAGTCATAAACATGCTTTGACAGGTAATATGACGGTGATTTGATGCTTCACAAAAGTTGCAGACGCCTTTACGATATCTAAATGCTTTTGTAAACATCCAGTTATTCTTTACACCGATTAAAACACGGCTACAATAATAAAGAAAATCTTTTCTAAATGTAGAACTAAATACACTGATTTGCATTGAAATACATGATGAATACTCTTGACACATGAAAGTGTACAGCCTGCAGCTCACAACACATGTGGAAGGTTATTGCGTGTCATATTTAACAAGACGTTTGCTGCTAATTTGATGTAATTTTGCTCACATGGATAATTGAATATTAATCAGATGATGTCATTACGCTGCTGTGCCGTCAGCCAATCGCTGCATTGCTGATCATGATTTGGAGGATGGATAGATCTGTCCTTCACAACACACGCAGCGATCTCAGATCAGTTCATCCAGACATTCTAATCTGATTCACGAACTTGTTTGAAGAACCAAATTAGCGAGAGATCAGTTATCAAGATTAACAGATCCAGGATCTGCCAAATCATCTCAGATCATTTACCGAGGTATGAAGAACGGACCCCTGGAGTGTCTTAATCCTGTTCAGATGGTTGTATTTGCTTTGGTTCTTCATGAAATGCTTGACAGGCTTTTATAATGTCTAATTATTCTGTTCTGTTCTATGTGAGATGGATTGAAACTCGTCTGATTCATTATAGGCCTGTTGTTCATTAACAGCCCATTCACATGGGGCTTCAGCGTCAACGCTTGACTGGGGGCGTGTCTGAAGTTTGAGCTGAAGCGATCATCATAGCAGCATCAGCCAATGAAATTCAGTCAGCAATAGGCCACTGTCAAGCTGGTTTATTTGCATACAACGATCTGATTGGCTGACGCTTCTGTCAGCGCTTGAAAAGTTGAGCTAGTCCCAACTTCTGCAGCGAGCAACACCTCTGAAGTGGCGCTGACAGATCCACAATGCAGTTCGGCAACGCCTGACGTCACCCATTCAAAGTGAATGTGAAGCGCTGACGCTGACGCCCCGTGTGAATAAATTAATTATTAATGTTCATCTTTTCACTTTATGTGTGTGTGTGTGTGTGTGTGTGTGTGTGTGTGTGTGTGTGTGTGTGTGTGTGTGTGTGTGTGTGTGTGTGTGTGTTAGTGGCTCTGACGGCCTGGTGAAGCTGTGGACCATCAAAACTAACGAGTGTGTGCGGACACTGGATGCGCATCAGGATAAGGTGTGGGCTCTGCACGGCGGCTGCAGGGACGAGCTGATGGTCACCGGCTCCGCAGACTCCACCATCACCGTCTGGAAG